CTGATTTTGGAAATATATTTCAGTTTCCAATACCATACTTGTATATTGATGGCTATGGGTAAAGTATAATCATTCCTGATTTTATCTCCCACTTCTATGTTCTTAGTTCTCTTCTATCACCGTCTGAATTAGCGTGACCTTGAGTGTTGCGATTAAATTTGCAGTAGTTCGAAAGTTACAGCTCAGATTTGAAAAGCATTTAAGGCGAAACAGCTGAAGAATCCATTCTTTTTAATAAATTATTCCTGTTCCATGGCAGTGTTTATTAAGTTGAGCTCATGTATTCTAAATTGCTTATATCTTTTCATTCAGTGCACAGTAAATAAGCAAATTAATGTAAATATTCGAACTTAAATAAATTGATAAATTACTGGGCTACAAACAACTCACGCATTATCTACAATACTGAAAGAACTAAAAACATAGTCCCAGAAACATACAAGTTGATCTTCAAAAGTGGACCTTAAGGTGTGCGGCTCGTTGAATAAGCGTTTTGTTGTGTCACCATACCCAAACCGGATGAAGCATTCCAACGTCTTTGGCACATGATTGTAGCCTAGAGGCAACTTAATCGAGAGGCACATAAAGCTGATGATTCAGTTGGTGTCTTGTCAAAGTGTTTCGATGTGAAAATAAGTTCAATTTATAACATATTCAACAAAATGTTTTCATCAAGACATGAACCGAGGAAGAAAAATCGATCATATCAATGAAAGACGATGGTTGTTATCGATCGCAGCAGAAAAGAGTTGCACACAACCAATATAAAGGATAGCTCGGGATGATCAACCATTTTTTCTTCAAGCCTTCGTTTGGAAAATGATGACTCAGTTCAAAAAGCAGCTGAGGCCACGTGATATGGAGCCGTTATAGAGCTCCCAACAAAGCAGTAAACGTAGCGATTTTACCAACAAATTCAAATCGCGCCGCCCGTTCATTTGTTAATGGGTTTATCATACTGGTGGTCAACGAGTATGGTGAAAGCTGAGCTACTGAGCTAGTTTTCTAATGAATTTCGTTTTACCTGTTAAAAGAAGTAAATATTCATCCTGCCTGATGAGTTAGGAGGGAAGTACATATTGAGTGCCTTGTTATTGGTCTCCTGTACGCACCAAAATGTTTGGCACTGATAAGGGAGCTTTTCGTTAACTGCTACTCTGTAAATGCATTCGTAGAAGTCTAATTTTTCACAGATGAAGTTTGGTGTATCTTCTCGCTTGGGGTTGGTAGTAAAAAACGGTTAAACCTAATTAAATACTGTTATTTTACATTTATACAGTCTCTGGGTGGGTCAAGTTCAATGTCAAATTCATTCAAATACCGCGCAGTTAGTTGGATTTTAATCTAATCGAATACATTTTACTGTATCAGAAACAGGGATAAGTCAGCTGTCTCGACATTAGTCGTCAATGGTTAGGGTGCGGGGTATATTAGAGAGACCTGGCAAATTCTGTTTGGCAGTCAACTTGGTGGACTCCATGCTAAAGCGACTGTCTCCAGTGCTCAAAAATGAAGAAGGGCAAATGGAACATGGACGAGGTGAAATACCCGTACAAAGTCTATGGGTAAACTCCAGTTACGTTTTCTACGGTGACTCTGTTATTTCACAACTGATGAACCAGCAATCATCCTCAAAATCGCGAAGTCGTACATTTTAGTGGCATTTGGCTAATAGAAGCAAAGACAGAGGTGAGTATTACATCGGATATGTTGCGGCTGATATGGGGCAATATCACATTCAATCCCGTGAATGAGCCTAAAAAACAGCATTTAGAGGAACAAATGTGATGAAAATCAGGATGTTGCACGAGTTTGGTCAATATATATATATATATATATATATATGACTGTATACTCAGAAAGCAAGTAAAACTCTCATCGATATTTAAAATGGTCATCCCAGACGAAACCAATTTTGTTGTGCTTACATAAGTTCAATACGGTGATGCGATAGGCCAACCATACCAAATTCCATGATTCTAAGTAAGTGGAAAAGTGTTTATCCCGTGTGAGGGGCTCATTTTGCAAGTCGTTCTCTCTTCATCACCCATTTCATTCACTCAGACAGGGAATCAATAATAGATCAGTTAATGATTTCCTACTATTTTTATCCTTTTTTCAGGGAAATGGTCTCTCATGAAAAGTCAGATCGAATTCCCTCGGCACGCGTAGGACATACAGCACACGCAATCAACCAGAAGTCATCCTCTTCACAATCCATTATTTTACTTGGTGGCGCTAACCTCGAAGGAACGCTTAACGAGGCTTTCCTGTATTCAACAAGTGATGATAAGTGGTCCCCGCTGAATTGGACGGATGTATCGGATGGTCCACTGCTGTCACGTTACGAGCACTCTAGTGCTGTACTTCCGGACGGGGTGAGCTCATGCTCGATTTGTGTCCTAAAAACAGTATGTTTTACTCACCAATTTTTCTTTTTCTCATCCAGGAAATTCCCAAAATAGTTGTTCCTTCGAATAAACTTGGCAGTTGACAAGATTCATTCACTGGTTTTAAAGTGCACAGTGACACTTAGGTAATCCGGGAAAGGGTTGTTGACGTTGGTTGAAGGATATTGAAAATTATCAAACATTGTTTTCATATCATGACTTTGATCGCTTCGGTAGCTAGCATGGAGCAGCAACTTGGAACACTAATTTATCACCCTATGTATACGGATTATTGTATCGAATTTACCATTGGAATGAGATCTTTCAAAAAAGAAAATAGCTGGTTTTCACTTATTCTTTTTATACTGCGAGCTTTCTACTTATCCAAGTGAACATCGTGTCTGCGTGGGTGTAAGATACGAAAAACTTGTGGAATCTTCAATGATATTCATAGATAACATTATACTACTCGTAAGTATTGAACTTATAAACATCACTTGCTGTTCCTTTATTTAGCACTTGATTAATGCGCTGGAATAAAATGCAGCTGGATCATACTGACTAACATATATGTTTATGAAGACCCATTTGTAGCATGAGAGACCACGTTTCTCATCGATTTTGTGTTTGTCTGTGTGTGTATACCAACAAGCGGTCCAAAAACATGAGGATGATGACTTATCGGTCTGTATCCGATTGCACCGAACGAATTATAAATAGGTGGGAAATTGAAGCTGAACTTTCGGAAATCTGGTCTCTAATTTCCGAGACGGTATTAAGAGTATGATTATATGCTTGTTATTT